ATGTCTTTAAAATATATCTGGAAGGATAAAGTTCCAAATAGTATACATTTCTCAAAAAGACGAACAATGATAAGTAACTTGCCCTATTAAGAGGGGAAATACTCTTTTTATTTGGAGACAGTTGGGAATTCAACTCAAAGACTACAGTCTTCAAGACTATAATTAGTCGTACACAATTGAGCACCTTACCTATTTCACTTATGGTTATTTACTCAAGTATCTACAAGTAACACAAAATACTTTTTTTTAAACCTGAGAACAGAATTGCCCATTACTTCGGCCTCACTTCACAAATACATTTTTAGGAAGACAGCACGGCACTCATCATCTTTTCTTTCAGAAAGTTGATACTTCTGAGTCTTTGAGAAAGAAAGCACATTGTGGAAATAAAGAGCAGATGTCTGAGTGAACGTGGGTGAGGGGAGTTAAACTGCTTCTGATTAGTTCTGTATTCTAGCCCAGGTTTACCAACAGGCTGTGTGACTCTGGGCAAGTCATTTTACCACATTGTGCTCTTTAGCAGTTAAAAAAAAAAAAAAAAAAAAGCACTGTAAAAAGTCTACCTCTCTAGAATCCTTATAGGATTTTAGGAAACCTTGGAAGAGGAAGAGAAAAAAATAAAAGAACAGTCATTTCCAACTGCAGAAATGGTTCATGTCGAACATGAGTTTGGAAAAGGCTAGAGAAAGCGGAGAAATCAGAACGGTGGTACCCATGAGACAGACTCAATACTCGTGGAAAAAAGTAGCGAAGCCTGATGGGAGAGAAACCCAACCAATCTGTGAGTTTACAACTGCAGTAAACCTGTACCACTTACTTTCTGGTTATGAAGTGCTAATAAGCAACGACCACAGCTAAGTGTCCTTTGCAAAATTAAATATTAAATCATTTAATCCTTACAATATTATGAAAGAGGTTCTTTCAGTATTTGTGTTTTAAATCAAGGAAACTGAGGCACAGCGAGATGAGCTGGCTTGTATGAAAATCACACAGGCAGAAGTGGTGGGGCCATGCTCTGTACCATCATCCTCTATGGACAAGGTGATGATGGACCTAAAAGATGAACATAAACACTTCAGTATGGCACTGCAGGACATGCAGATGGGGCTATTTTAAGTGGCTAAGTACTAAGAGATGAAGATTGCAGGCATGAACTACAGCAAAAATTGCAATCCAAGGATGAACAAACAGCAACTACATGAAACTTACAGAGCAAATAGATCTTTAAGTACTCTATAAATCTGGAAAAAAACCTGAGGATATAATTGCCTAAGAAGAGAATTCTAACTGACTTTAAGATTATTGGAACACAGGTTTAATTGCACATTTTATGGCACTTGAGAGAATGTGAGAAGAGCCATGAAGGAACAGAGGTATTAGCAATGGAAAAGGAGGAAGTACCATGGGATACATACTATGTATGAGGCACTAGACATTTTCTTTACAGTTCTTTACCTCATTTAATCCTCATAACACAGTAAATATTAAGCCCATTTTAAGAAGTAAAAAATTAAGAGAAGACTGACAACCTGTTTAAGGTCAAGCTGGTGCTTAGTAAATCTCTGGTAAACACTAGAGAAATGGTGGAACACACAAAAGGAAGTTAGTAGTATGAGTATTTGGTAAGCCTGGATCAAATTCAATCCCACAGAGCTCAAAACAGAATTTTTCCCTCATGACCTTTCTGAACACCAGCCTGCCAGTCAAGCTCTCAGGACCGTAGACAGGAAGAAATTCAAGGAATCTGGTAAAGCTGCCCGAGTTGCCTGGGATGCACCTCATCTACTTTCCCTGTCTTTCCGTGTGGTCAGAGAACCATTCAAAGAGACTCAATATCAAATCTGAACCAAAGGAATACGGGGGTGAAAAAAGGAGGTGCAAACATTCATTTAACTATTATGAACATACACCATACACAAGGTAGAGGCAATGCCAACTCACCTGCCTGACACTGTAAAGGAATGGGTATACATAATCAAACAGAATTACTCCAGAGCTCTTGGTTTTCATGTTTTTATAATAAGAAGAAAGAAAAGAAAACTGGGATGAAATTTTATCTCACCTTATTGACAGGCAGGTAAGAAGGAAGAGTTCTGGAAAATAAAATGAAACAAGATAAAAAGCAATGTAGAAAAGGGCATTTTGATTCCAAGGTGGGAAAAGGTTGGGAAGTTAACAGCCCACAATGGGAAGTACAGAGGGTGCTAGACATCCTCTTCCCTGCTTCCACGTCCACATCCAGAAATCACAGCGATGGCACTTGCAGTGCCAGGATTACAGATGCGGGGCAAGTGCGGGCAGTTTGGGGCTTTCCTCCTGAGGTTTCTTCCACCTTCCAAAGGAACTGAGGAGGAACACGGAATGTTTAGAAACTGCTGTCATTTCACAGTGAAGAGAAAAAAGGGAAAGTCCAATTTGCTTCTAGGTTGTCCAACCCAGATAATCAAGGGAGGGAAAAAAAAAAAAAAAGAGGCAGTGATTCAGAGCAGAACTTTCGTCCAGAAATAAAGATTGTGCATACTGCATACCTTTTCCTGTGCTAGAGGAACCGGAGCATGGTGGAGTGCAAGAGGCAAAGAAACTTAAAATATACTTGATGCTGTGAGGAAAACGTGGGGCCAGGCCTTGGAAATTTACTAGTAACGTGAGGTTAGGTAACACTGCTAACATCTTTATGGTTCAGCTACCAAAAATGGAAAATGGAAAACATCTGCCTTCCCTATTGCAAAGACTACTATGAGCTTCAAATATAAGCAAAAATTTTATGGCTAAAATTTTAAAAAGTAGGGGGAAAAGAGAAAAGGAAGTACGACTCTGATCAAAAAGAAAGAAACTTAAAATTTGTATCTATTAAATAAGGTTGAATATAGACACGTTTGTGGCTTTTGGTAATGAATTAACTGTGAACATATACACTTTATTGTTTAAAAAACTGTAATAATCAAAGGAATGCACCTTGAATACAAATGAAAAATTAACCAAAGAAACAAAATTTTAATGCTAGAAGGAAACAGATCATCTAGTCTAAAATATGAATTTAATCTTCCTAACGGGATCCCAGTTTTTCAAGCAGAACAGAAAAAATAGCTGTTCTTGTAAAATACTGCTGAGGGTCTGCTTGTTTCATCTCTCCTCTGCATGGCTCCAGGAGGACTTTCTACAGAAGTCCTCCTATGGAACAGTTTTAAAATCAGATTGAGGTGCTACTCCTAATTTCTAAAAATGAGGAGAATAAGGCTAAGAGGTAGACCTGGTCAGGAGTTGAACTCAATTCTCTTGATTTAGTCTAGCATGTTCTCTACTATGTCCTGTTACTTCTATTTTCTTTCCTTTTTTTTTTTCCTAAGGAAAAAAATAAGGGGTTCTCCTTTTAACTTGTAAATAATTCCTAATTCCACTCTCTCTTTTCTTCCAAATCTCTTTATGGCCCAAAACCATTCAACTCTAATCTTTCTGGATACAAGTAATGGATAATATGGGCAAGATCAGGAAGAAGATAAAGTGAAAAAGAAAAAGGAAGCGTCAGCCATCCCAAGATTATTCTGTTCAGGCTTAACTAAAGGTAACTCATCATGGGAAGGTATTTAGACGACAAACTGTGGTGTGGATGGAACCTCAGCCTCCCTGTAATTGCTTGAAACTGTCCAGGTATATAGTGTTCCAGGGACATCATAGAATACAGACGTGTTGTGAACGGTCAACAACTTGGTCTGATTCTGTGAACAGCCCTTTCACTAAATGTAGTATTTTTGGAAAATGGGACCTAAAGAAATAAGTAAACAAACAATGAGTTTTAATTAAAGGCCTCAGAAGAACAATGATTTTTACATTCTATCTCTTACCAGAAATCAATGTTAAACATAACACGCTCATCGCAAGCAATTTTCTAAGAAAATTCTCAATAACTTTTTCTCCCCAAGAAAATTAAAACTGCTTTTGAGTTCATAGTCTTTCAGAAATGTTGGAAACTTAAGCATACTCAACTTTTTTGGTACCAAACATAACATTTTACATGAACCATCAGATATTAAAGTTTTGACCCTGAATAATTCTTAAGCCGTTCGTAACAGTTAAATCTCACCACCGCCAAGTGCGGGGAAAAGATTTCCAAGTGCGTGTCTAGAAAGTCACTTCGCAGAATGCAAAGGAGCTCAAGTCTAGCTGTGTTTCTTTTTTTCTTTTTAATGGTGCGATCCTAAGACTATTTTTAGGAGTTTACGTTTGTCTCACTGCCTGTCCCCAAATCAGATTGTGACTGCCTCTTCCAGGAAGACAATACAACAGGGAAACAAGTAAAAGGCGACAATTACAAGGTCGTGAAACTCCACGCCCTCCCAGCTGTAAGCAAGACCTCAGGTCCGCACTCCGGCTCTCTCGGGCGACACTGACCTTAGGAGTCTGCGAAACGCCCCGCTCCAAGTAACTGTTCCTGAAACATTCTTTGGGAAGCTTGGCTTTTCCTAGCAGAACCTGGGCTCTCCAAGCTTCCGGAACTCGCGGGTTTACGTAGTGACGCAGCACCCGGAAGTGCCTGAAAAAAAGGGGAAACTAAACCAACGAGAACCACGCTTTAGCGCGCCGCGGAACAGCGAATGTCCATGTGCCGAAGGCCGAAGGGCCGAAGAGCCGAAGAGCCGAAGAGCCGAAGGGCCGAAGAGGACATCCGCGCGCGGTGATTGGTCGGCTGGCAGTGGAGGAAATCCGTATCTTATTGGCAGGAGAGTGGCGAACGCGGGGGGGCCGCGCGTGGAGAGGCCTCGGTGTCAGGGGTCGCTGGGAAGCAGGGGCTCTCGAAAGCAAGGCTTTCCCTGCCCTCGGGCGCCGGCAGCTGGCCTCCGGACAAGCGCCGCCGAGTGGCGGCGGGGCGCCTCCGCGTCTCGGGGGCTCTTCGCTTGCCCCGGGTGGAGGGCCTACCGCGGGATAGCTCCATTGGGAAGGGAGACTCCGGCTAGCGCGGCAGCGTCCGAGCTGGGGCAGTTTTGCGGCGCGGCGCTGCCTTAGGGGTAGGGGTGGGGGTGGGGGGCGGGGCTTGTTGGCCTCTGCAGGCTCAGGGAGGCAGGTGGCCCCGTCTAGTCGGCCATCCACCCTGCAAAACCGCGGCTCGGGAGGCCCAACCGGGCGAGCTGGACGCGCTCGCAGCACTGGGGACCGTGAGCTCCCGGCCGCAGGGTCGGTGTGAATCACCCCAGAGCTCTTAGAAACACCGACAGCCAGGTTGCCCAGTTCTGGGGAAGTGAGGGGGGATTTCTAGGACTGGGGCCCGACGGAAGGTATTTTTTGAGCGTTCACCAGGCAATTATGTGTAGTCGGCGTTGAGAATCGCCACTGCCTACTCATGGATGGCACTGTCGGGCTGGTTTGAGTGAAGTCAGGTGCGTAAAGTTTCCTGCACACAGTAGGTCTTAAAAACGTTTGAGCTCGTCTACCCTGGCCCCGCCTTCTCGCCAGGAGTAATCAGTCCTACAATAGCTGTATTGATAGACATTGGAGAGCTCATCCTGTAGAAGCAGTGATGCAAGAAAGCTTCGGGTTTTTTTTTTTTTAATTATCCCGTGGAACACTTGTTATTCAGAATTTAAAACATTATAGATAAAAGAACATTTCTCAGTGAAGTCTAATACTGTTCAAATTCATTTTTACCTGAAAGATACACAGTTAACACCACAGATAGCTGGAATTTTCTTGTCTTCCATACATTAAGGAGTTCTCAGGTCAGGCCTAGGAGGATGATGGTGATGGTTTCTCCAAATAATGAAATTCCCACTATGGGAACCAAGAGTACAAGTGATATAGAGTAGGAGCTCCAAGCTGAAAGGGTGTGTTGTTCCCTTAGGTACAGAAGGAGAGGTTTCTGCAGAGCTCGAGTCGGCCAGCTAGTAGCCACTAGCCACCTGAAGTGTGGGTAGGCCAGATTGAGATCTGCTCTAAGTGTAAAATGCACACTGGATTACTAAAATAAGGTATGAAAAGCAAAGAATGGGAACTGTTCATTTGTTATATTGGTTACATATCAACATGAGAATGTTTTGGAAATTTTAAAATTACATATGTGACTCCCATTACACTTATATTGGATAGGGCTGTTCTAGCTCTTTGAAGAAGACCAAGTCTTTCATGTAGCAGTTGTGAAGGAAGGCAACCATATTGTACTTCTCAGGTGGACCTACATCTGTACTGTGCTTCACTTAATTTTTATGAAAGGGAGAAAAAGGGACCAAAAAAAAGACTAACATAGGGGACATTTTTAGAAAGCAGTTTCTAATTCATGGAGCCTTATGTATGTCACGTGAACGTCACGATATCCATTGATAATAAAAATGATACCAAGCTGTTGAGAAATTTGAATTATGTTTAAGGAATCTGATTAAGAGGGCAAAACGTGTAGAACATTTAAAATTTCTATTGAAAATGTTTCACATAGGTTCTGGGTTTTGCCATTTAATCTCTAGATATAGTGAACGTTTTTAGTTTTCCAATGAGCTAGTAAGCTGAGGTTTCAGGGAAACTTTGTTTCCAGTTTTGTATATTTGCTTTAAAAATATTTTTTTTTCATTCATTTATTTAATAAAAGCCTGCCGGGGGCCAGGGGTATTGCTAAGCAGTGTTGATGTAAAGGTTAGCACTCAGACACGGCCCTTACTCTCTTGGAGCTATAGTGGTTATCAATTCAGAGACAGTGAAAAAGTACATAATAACCAAGGCATAGTGTATTTTGCCATTGAGTAAGTGCTTTACCTCTGTAAATTCAACACATTGTTTTAAACCCAGAATTTATATATTCCTGCTGACATTTTAATGAAGAGTCTTATTAGGACTTGACTATGGGCTTAAAGTATATTAGTAAAAAAATCAAAGTATACTTAATTCATCTGTTAATTATGAGAACTCAAGAAAAAATTAAACTATTCACCTTTAAAAAGAAAGAAAAGATGAAAAAATTACAATAGCATCTTGTTTATGATACCTTCTTTTAGCCTTTCAGCAACTTTTAGGTTCTAAGGAATTTAATAATAGAAATGGAAAGGCAACATTGATTTATGCCCCAACATAGTTTAAAATTGCTGACTTTAAAAACTTAAATTTATTTTAGCATATTACAGAGTTCTTAAATCAATATATTTGAGTCTTTTAGGAAAAAGGTAAACATAAATCTTATGTTAGTTTACTACTGCTGCTGTAACAAATTACCACAAAGTTAGTGGCTCAAAACAACACCAGTACGTTATCTTACATTTCTGTAGTTGGAAGTCCAGCTCGGGTCTCCCTGGGCTAAAATCAAGGTGTCCCCGGGTCTGTGTTCCTCTCTAGAGGGTCTAGGGAAGGATTAGGTTTTTTGTTTATTCAGATTGTTGACCAGATTCAGTTCCTTGCTATGGTAGTATTGAAGTCCCTGGTTCCTTGCCAGCTGTCGGCTGAGAGATGTTCTCAGCTTCTAGAAGCCACTCACATTCCTTAGGTTGTGGCCCTCTTCAAAGCCAACAATGGTAGGTTGAGATCCTCTCATCCTTCTGATTTCTCTTACCTTTTCATCTGTTGTTTCATCTCTCTAATTTCAGTTTTTTAAGACTCTGGTTAAGTTGAGCCTACCTAGATAATCTAGGATAATCTCTCCACGTCAAGGTCCGTAAACTTAATCACATCCTTCAAGTCCCTTTTGCCATAGTGAAGTAACATATTCATGGGTTCCAGGGATTAGTGCATGGACATTTTTAGGGGAGGTTATTCTACCTACCACAGATCATACTTGGGTCCATGCAGTATATCCATCATTTCTTATCAGTACTCTCAGTACTTTAGGATGGAATAATAATGTTTATAATAACAGGTAAATTTTATCATATGTATAATATGTTCCAGGCACTATTCTAACCCCTTTTCTGCATTTACTCTTAGTCCTTAGAAATGCCCTAGGAGACAAGTACTGTTTTTATCCCCACTTACAGAGAGGGAAACAGGTACAGAGTGGGGAAGTAACTTCTCACAGCTATTAAGTGGTAGAATGAGGATTTGAATCTACATGGTCTGATTCCAGGGCCTCTGCACGCTCTGAACCACAACATTGTAGAAATTTGTGAACGTCTGGATTTACTAAACATGCTTTAGTGATATAGTGACTATGAGTTTAGGCTCTGGTATCACAATGTGTGGATTTATATTCTACCTTTTACCAGTTACTGGACGACCTGGACAAGTTACCTAACCTCCCTGGTTAGGTAACTGAATTATTAACTGAATTCATGACAACACTTGAGGATTCAATGAGGCACTATATGTGAAGTACTAGAAAAGGGCCTCCACGTGAGCTGTTGCTAGCTATAATTATTGGTGACAATTCAACTTTTAAAAACAGTTTATCGTGAAAAAGGAATGTTTCCTTTTGTAAATTCAGTCTCTTTATGAAATAAAAACTGAAAGTTAAATTTTTCCTTTTTATAAAATTTTATTTATTTATTTTATTTATTTTATTTTTGGCTGTGTTGGGTCTTCGCTGCTGCACGTGAGCTTTTCTCTAGTTGTGGCGAGTGGGGGCTACTCTTTGTTGTGGTGCGTGGACTTCTCATTGCAGTGGCTTCTGTTGTTGTGGAGCATGGGCTCTAGGTGCGTGGGCTTCAGTAGTTGTGGCACGTGGGCTCAGTAGTTGTGGCTCGTGGGCTCTAGAGCGCAGGCTCAGTAGTTGTGGCACATGGGCTTAGTTGCTCTGTGACATGTGGGATCTTCCGGGACAAAGGCTCAAACCCGTGTCGCCTGCACTGGCAGGGAGATTCTTAACCACTGTGCCACCAGGGAAGCCCTAAATTTTCCCTTTTAAAACACCACAATGCTGTCTCCTTTCCCAGCTTCTAATTTCTCTCCACTGCTGCCTCTCCTCTGTCTTTCTGGTGGTGTTACTTTCTAGTGCTACCTGATCGAACACTTTAAATACTTTGTCCAGACTCTAGTTGCCCCAGGGTAACATCCAAATTCCTTAGAAAGGCACCAGGACACAAGCTCCAAATACCCTCTGCTGCCATTCCTCTGCCTAGTATTTACACATCCACCATTTCTAACTTCTCACTGTTCTCTTTTGCTATTATTATTCTTGGAGGGAAACATGGCAGATGCTGGGTCTCTGGCCATAACGCCTTCTAATACTACTCCAAACCTTACCCTCTTCTAATAATCTTTGCTGCCATTGCCTTAATTCAAACCCTCATGTTCTCTGCATTTTATTTCCTAACAAATTTGTGGCCTCCTTATCACCCTTCAAGCTTACTCTCCTCCCTGTTCACCAGAATAATCTTTCTAAAGTACAAAACTTCACACATTGTTACTCTTCTTCAAACCCTTCATTGTCTCCCCCTGACACCAGTTCCTGCAAATATTATTCCTTTCCTTATGTCTCTTAACACCAGTTAGGTGCTTCCACTGTTGCATTCAAGGTATGCTTATTTAAGCACTCGTCTTTCCTTCTAAATTATGAACTCATTGATAGGGAATAAAAGATGCTTTTGCTTGCATGAATTTATTATACTATCTCATCATTGCCTATTTACATCTCTGTCTCTTGTCACTGAGCTGTGGACGCTTTAAGGGGAAGCTTGTTGTTTTATTTCTCTTTTCTTCTGTGCCCAAGAAATAGGAGGTGCTTAGTAATTGTTGAATGAATGAATAGGGAAAAATAACCCCAAATACATACAATGGAAAAAACGCTGCTTAAATCCCCAAATGTATCCAAAGCAATTTATTGGGAATATATAAGGTTCTGATTTTAGAAGAAGCATAACTGGTAGTTAAGAGCATGGACTCTGGAGACAGAGTGTTTGGCTTTGAATTTTGGCTCTGCCACTTACTACCTGTGCACTCTGAACCTTGAGTCTGTTCTTTGTCTTTAAAACAGGGATGATAATAGTAACTATCACTTAGGGTTAATAGAGCCAAGTGAGCTTGTGTTTATGAAGTGTCTATAGTAGTGTCTACCACATAGCAAATATTCTATAAGTGTTGGTTAAGTTAAAACACAATAGTTTATGTTCTTATTACTTTTGATAATAGCTAATGTCCTTATAATACAGTGATAAAAACAATAAATAGCCCAGTGTTTTGTAATTGTTATATCTAACTAGCGATTTTTTAGCTTTCAATGATGTTTAATATCTTGTTATAGAATGATATATTCATTAACCATTTAGAGAGTATTTGTGTATGATCCCTCTCCTGAGTAACTGACATATTTTCTCTATGTATTATTTTTCTGTTACCTGCTAAATGTAACATATTACTACAAACATATGGCTTGAAACAACATGAATGTATCATCTCACGGTTCTATTGATCAGTAGTCCATCATTGATTTGACCAAGGTAAGGTTAAGTTGTCAGCAGAGCTGTATTCCTTTCAGGAGACACTAGGGAAGAATCCATTTTCTTGTCTTTTCTAGATTCTAAGAGGTGTCCACAATCTCTGGCTCATGGACGCCTTTCTCCGTCTTCAAAGCCAGCAATGTTGTAGCTCTCTAACTAATCTGCAGTGATATCTCTTTCTCTGACTACAGACAGGGAAGGTTCTCTGATTTTAAGTATTCTTGTGATAAAATTAGATCCACCTCCATAATCTAGGACAATCTCCCATCTCAAGATCCTTAATTACATCTTTGAAGTACCTTTTGCCATGTAACTTATTCACAGGTTCTGGGGGTTCGGGTAAGGGCATCTTTGTGGGACCATTATTCTGCCTACCACACTCTTGTACTGTGAATGAATCCCTGGGACTACCCTGGTGGTGCAGTGATTGGGAATCCACCTGCCAATGCAGGGGACATGGGTTCGATCCCTGGTCCAGGAAGAGCAACTAAGCCTATGTGCCACAACTACTGAGCCTGCACTCTAGAGTCCACGAGCCACAACTACTGAAGCCTGTGTGCCCTAGAGCTGCAACTACTGAGCCCACATGCTGCAACTACTGAAGCCCACATGCTCTAGGGCCCACATGCCGCAACTACTGAGCCCGTGTGCTGCAGCTACTGAAGCCCGCGCGCCTAGAGCCCGTGCTTCTCAACAAAAGAAGCCACTGCAATGAGAAGCCTGCACACTGCAACAAAGAGTAGCCCTCGCTCACCGCAACTAGAGAAAAACCGCATACAGCAACGAAGACCCAATGCAGCCAAAAAAAAAAAAAAAAAAAATCCCTGATGAATGAGAGGTACGTGGGCTATACTTTCTGAAAATGGAGACAATATTAACTAAATTGTGAACAGTTTTGTCAGTATCATTTATCATCTATTCTTCCAGTGGTTGGTAAGAGCCATGTCTTCTTCACAGGGTGCTAAGGTACTGCAGGGGTCACTGAGCAGTGTCCTTGTTTTCAAGAACTTTTACTCTAGTGAGGAAGGGAGAATCAAGTTGAATAGCTGCTATGGGCTAAGCACTCTACAATGGATTTCAGATACATTAGCCCCATTTAATTCCCACAATAACTTTATAAGGAGTGGTAGGCAGCCTAGAGAGGCCCTCAGTGACCCCCACCACATAGTATTCATGCCCTTGTATAATCTTGTCCCTTTGAGTGTGGGCTGGATCTGGTGACACTCCCAAGGAATGCAGTAGGACACTAGTGATAGGATATCATCTCGGAATTAGGTTATAGAAGACCTGTGACTTCCCTCTTGCTCACGCTATCTCTGTTTCACTTTTTCTAGCTTGTTTTGATGAATTAAATTGTGATATGTTATATTGCCCTGTACAGAGGCCAAGGAACTGAGGGCAGCTTCCAGCCAACAGCCAGAAAGGAACCAAGACCCTCAGTCCAGTAGCTTGTTAGGAACTGAGTCCTACCAAGGACCAGAACATGAACTTAGAAGTGGACGCTTCTCTAGTTGAGCCTTGAGATGCCTTCAGCCCCAGTGAACACCTTGACTGCAGCCTTCTGAGAGATCCTGAGCCAGAGGACACTGTTAAACCTCACCCAGATTCCTGATCCATAGAATTATGAGGTAATAAATATTTTTTAAAGCCATTAAGTTTGGGGGTAATTTATTATGCAGCAATAGATAGCTAATACTGTTTTCAGTACAGATGACGAACAAAAAAAACACTTGGAATGTTAAGGCAAGTTTGTAGTTCTCTCACTTATTAGTGAAAGCTCTTTCCACTGCAAACAATGATAATATAATAAGAATACTGGTAGTAGCTTAATTTACTGAGCACTTACTAGGCTATGAGGCACCTTTCAAATTATTTTACATATACATTATCTTAGATTATTACAACAACTCTATAAGATAGGTATTATAATTATCTCCATTTTATAAGTAATAGAATTGGAGCTAAGAGAGGTTAAATAAAGGACATGCCCAAGATCTCCAGTTGACTAACAACATACTGGCAAGATTTGAACCCAGTTTGTGTGACTCTAGAGTTTTTCCTCTTAACAACTATAGTAAATTGTTCCCTAAGGATCCATGTTATAAGGCAAAGGTGATGGGTGCAGCTGGAAGAAAGGGTAGGGCTCCAAGAGTTCACAGCTAGATGAAATTAATCCTGATCTGGGGTACTAGGAAATGCCAGGGTGCCAGGAAGGCATCCGATCTGACTCTCGGAGACTGGGTAGGATTTAGGTGCATGGCTCTTAGAGGAAGGAATCTGAGCAAAAGAGGTGGAAAAGCATGAGACACAGATGAGAAAACACTACGTCACACCGTCTAGAGCTGGGCAGGATGAGGAATAGTGGGAGATAAAATTAGAAAGGTAATTTGGAGCCTGGTTATAGTTATGTAAAAAGATTATGAATATTTTTTAAGAAAAAAATCGATTCTTGAGTGTTTTGATAGTAGTTTCAATCACCTGCCTCTTAGTTTAAACTATAGAATGGAACTGTTAGAGAGGTAATATTCCAGTGAATCTGAAACAAAATCTGATTGTATGGATTGTGTGGAAATACAAAATTTAGTTCCAGTGAAGTGCAAAAGAAAAATAGAACTACACGGAGAACACTTTGTGTGGTTAAATTTCTTAACACATTCAAAGACGTGTTCAGTTTATATTTAGGTTCGGTAAAACTGCAAGAGTATCAAAATTTGTAGGCCTTTTTATTTCCTTGTAAAAACAATACTATTAGTGGTTATACTCAAAGCACATTAAGTATTTCACTAAAAATAGAGCCTATAGAAATAAAGAACAAAAAAACATTATGATTGTGTTTTCAGTTACCTGGGAGTGGACCTTAAAAACAGTACTATGGAAGGGAGTCATATGAAGCAGGGCTTAAAATATTATCCTCTATTTTTCTCAAAACATCATTCAAGTGCACTAGATGGAAATTTAATTTTGTAAGATGTCTGTACTGTTCAAATTTGTTTATGGTGTGAGCTTTCAATTTAGACAATTTATCATTACTTGGAGAGGAACTTTTTCTCTTAAGCCAGACTGAATTTCCTTTCCAGGGAATAGATGAATCCAGGAAAAATGTTTCCACAGCTCATACCTAGCCAAAAACAATGGCCATGGAGGAATGGAGAGCTCATTGAATAATGACAAAAGGAAAATATGTAATCCCCTTTCCTGTAGCCTTTCTCGTGTCCTTGACATGTCTCAAAACTCTCCAGTCCATAGATTCAAGCAGTGTACATTTTGATTCTCAAATGTAGGGGTTGAACTTCTGTTTCACAACAGTATTAAGCAAGCAATTACAAATATGAAATACCTACTGAGGCCTGACTCTGGTTTGCCTGACAGTTGTGTGACCTTTGGAAGGTCTCTTAACTGTCATGAGCCTCGGTTTCTTATTCTCTCATCTGTTTGACATGTCCTCAAAGATTCCTTGATTCCTTTTGGTTTTAATGGATTTGGATTCTGAAGGCCAAGTTTTCATGACTGCAGTTTCAACTCAATGCTATACTTAAACACTTGGGTCTCCATATATATTTTTCAAGCCACCTTTTCTATGTCTGCAGGTTTTCTGCAGTAACATAATTACATCCATAAGGGAGGCTAAATTTGGCTCTTCTTCTGGTTGATTCTGGTCTCATAATTTAGGAGCTGATACTCCCTCCACCTCTAGGGCAGATAGATTCTATACCAGTGCTAGAGGAATAAGCTTGAAGTCATTTCCTTGTAAAATCTCTCTCCTTTCTGCATGTATTTAAGTATTTGTGCTGTATATCTTACTGCCATAACAGAGGTGGTCAGTGAGGAAAAGAGAAAAAATATATGGCAGTAATTTACCCTGGCACCTTTAACCTTATCATCCTCAGCGTCCATCCCGAGCCCACAACTCTCAACTTAGAGCACTGCTGTCAGTCTTAGAGGCAGGAAATTTCTTCAGAAAGAAGCCTCTGAAACCATGACAAGCTGTTCCGAACAAGAGCTATTTACTCATTACATCAGAAGTTCGGGACTGGTCTGCAGTCAGTATTCTCGTATCCCTCAGAAGTGTAGGGAGTAGAGTAAAGGTGTATATAGGTGCACTGGAATTTCACATAATTTCTCAACAGCCTGGAAAGCATCCAGAAGTCCCCATTCTTCCTGAGTTTCCTGATTAGTGTGTTGCTCCTGCTGCGACTCATTTTAGAAGGATCTAGTAAGAAACATTGCTGCTGATTATTTCTGGGTCATGGAAATTCCCTGAAAGTTGGATAAAGGTGATGCTATAAACTTACAAGACCTGAGCTTAGCATTAAGGAGACTTGATCACTTATGTCCACCATATATAGAGTTGAGTGCTCCTAGACAAATGGCAGAATTCTTGAGGGCCTCAGTAGGTCATGTGACTTTGAAGAGTATGGCTTAGATAAATTTTGAGAACTCTTTTAGTTCTAAATTTCTACAGTTCTGTGAGTAAATTGCCACATGCCTGTAGATACTTTGGATTAGACCCAAACACCAGGGCAAATGAATATCAAAGGTTAGTGCTGCTTAGCTGGGCTTCAACATTATCCAGAATTGTAGAGGCTTCGGTTTACCCACTTTGATTCCAAGAACTTCTGAAGAGAAAAGTAGCCCAGAATGAATGTAAGGCTTGCTCTTGCTATACCATCTCTAAGTGCTTTGTTTTATAATAGTCAACTTAGATTTAATAATTTCAAGGTGTTCTTTTCAGCCATCATAACAGAAAGGCAATATAAAATCTATGATTTCTATATTTACTCCTTTCAAATTCCATCATTTTAAAAGTATGCTTATCGTTAGTAAAATCCTACTAAGTTTCACTAATCCAATGACAATGACACAAGATTTTTACTGCATATGTGATGGTATATTACATATATTACACTTCGGAAGGATACAAACACTTATGAGAAAGCACTTGCCCTTAGGCATCTTGAGTACTAGGAGAGGAGAAAAACCATAAAGAAGCAAAAATATGAACAGGAGTGAAAGAGTCAAAAACCCCAGGAAATTTTGCAGAATAGAATTAACTAAAAAGGAAAAATGTATGCTTTGGTTTTCTAATAAAATAATTTTGTGAATACTTTGTTAAAGATTATTATACTTAGAAGCAGGTTGAAATCTTTCTTTTCCCAACATGCAAAGCTTTCTTTAAAGATAAACGTTGCAGTGGTATTTTTAATTATTGAGGTTGGGTACTTATTTCCTTCTTACAGTCATGTGCTTCCAAAGGGATTTGGAACACAGAAGCATTTCATAGCTGTTTAGAGAAATGAGAACTTAGGTCTTTTTAATTACAAGCATTACTTCCCAGTTCTATCTAAGTTCAGACTCTATCCTCTGTAGTATTGAAACTTCCAAGTTGTGTTACACCAGTATAACGTATGATCTGTGTGCCTGGATCTTCCAAACATTGCTGAGTCTCTAGGATACATTAAGGCAAATTTGTTTCAGCTAGCTTTGTCCTGAGTAATTCTTTTCTGTGTGGCTTGTGAATTACCAAATAAACATGTAATTTAGGAAATACAATTTTATAACATCCTCCTCATTCCCAAGTAATTGTAGCTCAAACACAATATAGCAATAATGTACCTATTATTGCTGTCTGGCTATCTATCAGCTGATTACCTGAAGCAGTGTCTGAGCATGTTAATCATAAGCTTAAGATGACCAGAAAGTGCTCATTTGGGGGGTAATCATGATGGATCCTTGCTCACTTATCAAAATCTTATACTATATCCAAGTATGTTTAAGTAGTGTTTGGTGAAGGCAAATATTTCTGTGTTGTCATACAGAATTTTTTAAAATAATGCTAATCTTTAATAAAGTGTAGGTGGCTTTTATTTCAGATTAAGGGTAGACTATTTCCCTCTATTTGATGAAATAATATTAATGGCTAATATTTATATAGTACCAACTATTTGCCAGACACTATTCTAAGTGTTTTACAGGTATTGGTTCACTTCATGTCCACAACAACACCATGTAGTAGGCATTATGATGATCACAATCGCATTTTACAGATGAAGAAGATGAGGCATAGAGTGATTAAGTAAATAGTCCCAGATCATAAAGGTGACAGTTCAGAATTTGCACTTAGGCACGCTGACTCCCGACTCTGGTATCGGTGCTCTTAATTACTGTGATATGCTTTCTCTCCACAAATCAGCCTGCACCTCAGCTCCCCTGAATTTTGAGGCCTGGAGCCACAGTCTGGGACTTAAGCAACTGTAGCCAAATTCTGCTTTTCACTTAATCACTCAACAATAAATGAGTGAGATGGGAAGAACTAGGTTGTGGCCAGCGCTGGCTACATAATTTGCAGAACTCAGTCCAAAATGAAAACGTGGGGCCTTTTGTTCAAAAAGTAGGATTAATGATAGTAAAATATAAAGCCTTTTCCCTTCCTTTATGGTCACACTCTTATCATGAAATTTTTCATTAGCCATTGAATGTCGTTCTAAGTAAAGAAAAATTAAAAATTGAAATTATTAGCATGAATTTTGCCACTCATCTTTGTATTGTGCGATGTCTATTTTCAGTGCAAATAGAAGAGCTTTTAACTTTTATGTGGAATCACCAAAGTTGCACGATGCTTTTTTTGTAA